TACCAAAATTCCTTTTTTAAGATAGAAATATGCCTTAGCAAGTTAGCAATCATTAGCAACACAAAGAACAGCCATTTTAATCAGATTGCTTTCCTCTTCAATTTTATTTTGGAAGACTCTTGACCAACTAGAATATGGATTCTTTATGGATCCAAGGGTTTGTCTACAAATTTGGAAGTGTATGGCTTAAGTCTAAACTGCCTGCAGCTCAGATTCTGGCTAATCTATTTGGACTGCCCTGGGAAGACACTAATTCTAACAGCGTGCTATGCTCCATTGCTCAGTCAAGTCTGACTCTCTGGGATCCCATGGACTGTATGTACCCCAGCCAGGCTCCTCTGTCTGTGGAATTTTCCAGGCAAGAATACTGGAGTGGGTTGCCATTTCCTATTCCAGGGGATCTTCCCAGCCCAGGAGTTGAACCTGTGTCTCTTGAGTGTCCTGCACTAGCAGGCAGATTCCTTACCACTGTGCCAAAGCTGATAATCATGGTTTAGATGGATGACTCAGGCTTCAGTTTGGTACCTGTTTCACTGACTCACCCCTAACCTAGGCTCCCAGTGGTATTCATGCCTGTGTCGTGACATGAGCTGACTATTACTAGTATGTGTATTAGTCACTTAGTTATGTCCAGCTCTTTGAGACCCCATGGACTGCAGCCCGCCGGGCTCCTCTGTCCATGAGGATTCTCCAGGCAAGAATACTGGAGTGGGTTGCCATTTCCTTTTCCAGGGGATCTTCCTGACCCAGGGATTGAACCCCCATCTCCTGCATTGCAGGCAGATTCTTTACCATCTGAGCTACAGGGAGGGTGAGAAAAAACAAGAGGAGGCTTTCCCACTGGATTCTCCACAGATGTCAAGAGCACATGGAACTGGGGTGAGCAGTCTCAGCAGAGATAGAGCAATGCCAGGGGTGTGGACAGACACAGGTACTCTCTTTCCTGAGCACCTTTGACTTTAGCACAGAAATTTGCAGGCCAAGCTTTGGCGGAGCCACTTTCAATGGGCACAACAAAGCCTGTCTGCAATACTGGGGTCTTTCTAGCAGTATTATTTGGGAGTTTCCACACAATAACTGAGAATGCAGCAATAGCAAAATCTGATTTGTAACACTTGTTAATATGCAAGTGTGGCCTATGAAACCTGGAATTTTTGAAAAGGAAAAAAAAAAAAAACCTCCCAAGGCTTTTCTAAGCCAAAAAGCATAACTGAAGAGGCAAATCCTAAAATCCTTACTGTGGGCCTTCAGCTACTTCCTTTCTATAATGAGAATTTTACTTGCCGCCACTTACCTGCTTTACAACTTGAAAGTCAGATATTACATCATGAATACATTCATATCTTCAAGAAGGAAAAAACAACTTACATATATTAATGGTGTAGATGTTATAAGGAGCAGAACATATTTTTGACCTTAAAACCCATTCATTGTTCTTTATAAAGCATTTTTTCCCTTTTTCACTGGTTAGGATTTTAGCTTTAGTTTGTTACAGCCATGGGTGAGAAGGAGAAATTTATAAGGAATCCAACTTCTTCAAAATTTAAAAAACACTTTAAACAAAGTTCTTGCCTTTTTACCATATTTATCAAAGAAAGGAGCATGTATGATTCTTTCTGTAAAGATAAAGTTTATAGGAAACAAAGATCCATTACAAGTAAATGGAAATTAAATGTTATTGTAGAAAGAATTTCTTTTAAATTCCTAGGAGAAATGTTGGTTAAAGATCAGGAGAGTGTTGGAACATCCCTGGTGGTCCAGTGGCTAAGATTTCACACTCCCAGTGCAGGAGGCCCAGGTTTGATCCCTAGTCAGAGAACTAGATCCCACGTGCCTCAACTAAGAGTCCACATGTCACAACTAAAGACCCTACATGTCTAACAAAGATCAAAGATCCCAAGTGCTGCAGCTAAGACCCAGTGCAGCCAAATAAATAAGTATTTTTTTAAAAAGATCAGCAAAGTGTCAAGTGGATAAGGACCTTAGTCTCATCTAGAGCAACCCCTTTACTTTACAGAATGAGAAAAACAATGCCCAGAAAATTGTCGTTTACAGACATCTCAGAGTCATGGAATGGCAGAGCTGGAACCAGGTCTCAAGTCTGTTCACTGCCAGCTCTCAAGGCACTTTTGCTGTGAGACACACACACACACACACACACACACACACACACCCTAGGACATCACACAAGCCATTGCTCACATTCTTTTCAAGAAGTAAATAAAATAACATGTGACTTAAATTAGGAATGAGACTTAAAAATTAAGTATGTGTGAGAAAAATAGGACCACTTAATGGAAACACTGAGGTCAACAAATTACATCCTTTGGCATTTTTCAAGGAGTGGAGCCTCTTAGGGAATCTAGAGACTGAATTCAATTCGCTAAGCCAAACATTCAACAAGGCAGTTGCACACTTAGCTTACCCTCAGTTACAACAGCACTGGATTAGAGCTCTGTTTGGTTTTGCTTTTTCATTTCTGCCTTTTGTCAAGTTTTGAGGAAAAAAAAAAAACCACCATGTGATAGTTAATAGGGAAGAATGCCCATCAGCCTGGAACAGTCATTTCTACTATGGCCATTTCTGCTGGCACACCACCCTAATCTTGTCCCGAATCAGCTCTTGCCTGGATTATATCTATGAGACAATCACGTACTCTGGCCCCCTCTCCTCTCACACTGCACCCCACTGCCAGGCTTGTCTCCTTAAATCATTGTTTGCATTATATCACTCTGTATTCAAGACCTATGATGGTGTATGTTTAACTGTTTATTGACTCGTCAAAATATTTTAATCTGGCTTCTTTTGGCTCTTCATAATCTATCTGCCTCTCATCAATTCTACTGTCTGGCAGGCAGACTGCCTGTCTCTCCAGGAAATAAATCTCATTCCCATCACCAACCCTTTGGTAAATACTTTTCCCCGTTCTCCTGCCCTTCTCTCCACTATTTCAAATCATGTGTGTGTATGTATGTCTGTGTTTGTGTGCATGCACACTAAGTCATGTCCAACTCTTTGCAACCCCATGGACTGTAGCCGGCCGGGCTCCTCTGTCCATGGGATTTTCCAGGCAAGAATACTGGGGCAGGTTGCCATTGCCTTCTCCAGGGGATCCTGCCAACCCAAGTACCAAACCTGTGTCTCTTGGGTCTCCTGCATTGGCAGGTGGATCCTTCACTAGCTGAGCCATCAGGAAGCTCCCCCTCTCTCTTAACTGTTTCAAACCCAGCCAAGCTCCAATCCAACCCCCTCAAGTCCTCCATGCAGCCTCCCCACTATTCCAATCCTCCCTATTGAGTTCTCTTTTCTCTGGTTTCATGATATTTTCTCCTATTGCTTCATATCTGTTAGTCCTGAATTCCTAAACTTAACACATATCTTTTAGGACAAGAATGATATTTTAAGACTCTCTTGAGCCCTCTTCCCACCCCCATTCTCATAAGCTCTAGCATCTTGCTCACTGTAGCAGATTCTCAATAAACACTTTGACAGTAGGACAGAGCAGATAAAACAGAGGAAGAGAATGCCAATTTCACCCCAGTGATGCTGGTAAAAGCAGAGTACTGTCTCTAGCCCTACCTCTCAGGCTCACTGCCCTTCTTCAGGCTCCACATCACTCCATCTCTAAATTGTTTCTGACTTCTCCCTCTGCAGGCTCTGTAAATCAGTTCTTTCTCTCTAACCATGGTCTAAGTCTGATCTACTTCCAACCAAGGCCATGACACCTTTTAGGCACCAATCTTACTCCAAGAACACAGCCAAATGGAAGTTTTCATTTAGACCCCACCTCTTTTCCTCCGTAACAGAAAGCACAGCCCTTTCCAGGCTGGAAGATAAGTGTCCTCATCACATAGACACTTCAGCTGTCACATTGGTGCCCCAAGTCCAGATGTCCCTCCTCCTCGTCCCAGCCAGGACTATAGAATATTGACAGTTGCCCATCCCTCTGCCTGCACCCCTCACCTCCAATGATCAACATGCAGAGGGGACACCTTGAAGGAGTAGGATCTTCCCACCTGGGTATCTTCCTGCTACTTTCCCATACTGGAGGGCGAGAGGAGCCTTGTGTCCAGCTGTATAAAGTCACCAGCATCCCAAGCTGCAGCTCTCTCTCTGCCAGCCCTGACTCCTAAGGAGGTGAGGAGAGCCCCCAGGGAGACCCAGGCACCCTGCCGCTCCTTCCACTAACCACTCTTCCCTCCGAGCAGGTGACCACACCCAGTGGTCCCTAACCTACCCACTCAGGTTTCACCTTCAAGGTGAAGAAAAGTCTTCTCCCTGCAGTTTCTCCTTAAAATAGGAAATCATATATTCCAAGTGGAGCACCTATGTGTTTCATCAGTAGTACTAGCCCTCAGTGAAATACCTCACCTCCCTCTCCTTTGCTTCCCTATCAGCAACAGAAGACCCAGAAGATCTCAAAAGTTGAGTCTTTTTTATTTTACTTCTCCTGTTCCCCCTAACTTGGCCAGCAAGAAGGCAATGTAATAATTCTTCTCCGAGCCCACTTTAGCTCTCTCTGCCTCCCAGGTCCTCCCCCTCCGACCTCTAGTACCCGCCCAGGGCGCACACACAGGCAAATAGCTCTCCACCAGGCTCCACACTCCCCAAGGCCTGCATCGCCAGCCAAGGAGTTCCTTTTCCTCCTCCTCCCTGGGATTCTCCTCGGTCTAGTCCCCCGCTCCCACTTTAGTGGATTTCACTGCCACCACTCCTCGCTGGCGGGCACCTGCGCCCCTGCCCTCCGCTCGGCGCCCGCCAGCGGGATCCCTACCGCCCTCGGGCCGCCCCCTGGGCCCAGGGCCGCTGCAGCAGGTGCAGCCCCAGGTGCCCAACTGCCGGATCCTCGAGCTACCCAACATCGTGCACGTTCTTCGACCCGCCCCTGCCAGCCCCAGGGCTCCCTTGGAGTCCAAACACCAGCGCGGAAGATTCGCCCTCCTTGCGACTCCACCCGAGACTCTCCTCCCGGGTCGACAGTGCCGAGTGTGGCCACTTACCCAGGGCGAGGGCCGGGAGTAGGGGCAGTGGGCCGGCGCCGCTGCCCGGGGCGACCCGGGCCATCAACTGCGCTGCGGGGCCGGGCAGCCCCGAGACGAGTCTCCCGCCTCCTCCTGCGCCCTCTTGTCGAGCCGCGGGCGCCCGACCGGGTGCCTGGAAACGAATGCCCGGAGCCAGCAGGAAGCGAAACTACTCCCCAGGCTGGCACCCGGGCTAACACCGGGCGGGCAAACACCCAGGGCAGGCGGCCGGGAGGTTCGGCGAGTGTCGCCGGGAGGAGGGAGCCTCCTATTTATCCTCGCTTCCGTGGCACACACCCCACCGACCGGGCGCAGGACTTCGCGGCGGTGACCTCCACGCCGTTCCCACCCAAGTTACCCCACACCCACACCCACGCTCCGGGACACTTTCGGGCTGCCCTGGGGCCGGCTCACCCACTCCCCCTACTGGGTCGCACCTGGCGGTTCATTTCCCTCCCCTGGGGAAGTCGAGGAGGTGGGGAGGGAACCGAGAGAGGGCACCTGGAGAGATCCGAGACGTGGGGCCTGCGGGCGACCCTGGGGGAGGCCGGCTCTAAACGCTTGGAGCCCACGGGGCGAGAATCAGAGCCCCGGACCGCTCTGGAATTCCAGCTTCTCTTATTTCAGCCTATTGTTGGCGTCTTGGACGGACTAGAGCCAACACTCGCTGTGGTTAACCTCAGGCATCTGCCAATTTACAAAGCTTCTCTTTTCCGTATATAATTAGTTGAATATCTGGGAGTTTGGCCTCACCAGGAGCTACTTTAAGAATGTCACATATTTTTATATATATATATCTCCATTTACTCATCTATTCATTGCATTTTCATTTATTTATTTAATTCATGAACTCTCCTGGATCCCTGGGTCTGGAGGATCCCTTTGAGAAGGAAATGGCAACCCACTCAGGTATTCTTGCCTGGGAAATCCCATGGACAGAGGAACCTGGCAGGCTCCATGAACTGTAGTTCATGGGAGATGCAAAAGAGTCCAACACAACTTAGTGGCTGAACAACAACAACAAAATGGATCTGTTAGAATAAGGAGAAAGCCTCCGGCTTGCCAAGCACTATCTCTACCTCAACACTCCTATTCTTGAAAGAGAGGTGGGATTTGATGGTTCAGCATGAGCATCCTCTGGAACACAAAGGCACCCTCATAGCTTTCAAAGACAAAAACAGCATTCAGTTTTACCTTACATGATTAATATGTTCGTCTCCGAAATAACTAAAGGGTACAGCAGTTTTCATACTGATCTATGCTCCTCCTGTAAGATCAATATGTGCAATCACGCCCCTTCAATACAGAAGTTTATTTCTATAGCATCCAAAAGCCCAATAAACAATCATTTACATAAAAAATGCAGTTCAGATGTCTTCCCCTTCTTCCCCACTGTTTAAATTAAATAAATTATTATGTGCTTTTCTTCCACAAGTGACATTTCATTTCAAAACCAATTCACGTTGCTTTAGTAGAGCAGGCAACCAATATATCCAGAGGAATAAAAATCAGTTATTCATTTCCAGAATCCCATTCTAGCCCCCACACGACAGCTCATAAAGCATCTTTGGGAGGACAGGCATGCGGTTCAGAAAATTGAAGGTTGTGAGACAGACAATTACTGCACCCCAGATCAAAAGGGAAGCTTGGGGTTCACATCATCTCCCTTCTTTCTGTCTCCATCCTTCACTTTTCCTATCTAATATTCTCTCCTTCCCTCTGGATCAGGGCCCTAGATTAAGGCACCTTTCAGTCTGAGATGGCACTTTAGCCAACAATTGTCATGGTATCCTCAACCGAACCTTACTGTTTTATTTTCCTTCTCCATAGATACTAATAAAAAATAAAACAAACCTGAGCAAAAAATACCAAATGTTTGTTGACTGTTGAAAAGTGACAAGACTTGGCATAGATGGTCACCATTCATGCCATTCAGATGGTATGAAATTAACTTTTTCAGGCCAGTGGAGTATGAAATTGTGTACTTTAGTATATTAACTAGACCAGATAAATTAATAACCTTTCCTAAGGGCTTTATTTACTGCCAGAAGTAAAATAAGTACTCCGGACAGTAGGCCTTCCAAATTTCCTGACACCAAAGATTCAGTCTCTTCAAGATCAAGGAACTTTCCCTTTCTTTTCATTCCTCTTGCCTGCCTTCCTTTTGGACTTCCTCCTTTCTCTCCCTTCTTCCCTTCCTCTTTCCCCTTCTTCTCCTTCCTTTCCTCTTCCTCCTTCTTTTTCTCTCTCAATTCACCCACCATGGGGGAAAGTATATCTGGGTTCCAACCACTAACTTTGGAAGAGTAGGAGGTAGGAATTGACCTTCATGAGGCCTCATTTGTGTAACTGAGGTGTGTCTCAATGCTTTAGATTATAAACTGAGCTGTTACTAAGAGAAGTGAGAAGGTAACAGGCAGGAAGGCCAGGGGTCTCCAAACAGAGGAAATAGGCTGCAAGTGTCAGACATTTTTTATCTCTCTCTTAAGCAGCAGGAGGAAACAAATGAGTGATATATTACTTTTTTTCTTTCCCTTCTCTATACCAATTTTAAGAGAAACTTAAAATACTGTATTGCTATAATGACACTTAAAATACTGTATTGCTATAATGACACCAGATTCCATCTGAAGTTAACTATTCTCAAACCTTGAGTTAACTCTTTTTACGGAAATGTTTGTCTTAAGCTATGTTAATGTACTATGCATTTACCCCAGACTCTGTCTTTAAGTTGGTTCAGCCTAATGGCTCAGAACCAACTTGACAAACCAGTATGTTATACTCAGACATTGTTCCCCTGATCTATGTAAACGAAACTATTTGTATGGTAATCTGGTTTCCGCAAGATTCAAGTCAATCATTTTATGACCCAGGATGAACCTGGTGCCAAGATTATCCCAAAATACATCTTTTGGATGAGGGGCCTTGTGCCACTCTGAATTTTAGGACTTTCCTTTCTTTCATTAACAGACTGCTAGTGACTATATAACATCCAGCTAAAAACTAGCAGGGGGTACTCTTTCTGCCCCCTTCTGATGCCTATGTCAGAAGCTTTCTCTAGCTCCTTTATACTTTAATAAAACTTTATTACACAAAAGCTCTGAGCGATCAAGCCTCGTCTCTGGCCCCAGATTGAATTCTTCTCCTCTGGAGGCCAAGAATTCCGGCATCTTTTCACAGTTTAGCAACAACCTTTCAGAAGAATAGGTCAAATCTACAACAGAGTTATAAGGTAGAACTTTTGTCCTCAGAATCCTCAAGCCAGGGATTTCTTGAAAGGTGTCTTCCCTCTGCCAGCTTTAAGCTGGTCTAACCAGCCCTCCGGAATCTTAGCTAGGTGCCTTTGAATTCCTTTAAGCATCAGTTTCTCTCTTTCCACACAGAGTGGCCTTCAGTGAGGACACTCCTTCCTCTCCTCTGGACAGGACAAAATAAGCTGGTGGTTATTTTGGGTATTTGTGGTTATCGTGGTTATTATGGGACACAACACCTAAATAGACACAGCAGTGGTGGTAGACAGGAAAATTCTGGAACATATCCACTCAAGATCAGCATGTATCCTCCAAATTATAACTTTAAGGTATTCAGGGTATAGGAAGATTTCCTAGTGGTCATTAACATTGTTTAATTCAATAAGAGTAGGTAAATAAAAAGAAATATTAATGATGAATATAATGTTTTTATAGTAATGATAAATTATGCATTGTAGATTATTAAAAATCTGTAGTATAATCTATGTGCTCAGTCGTGTCCAACTCTTTGTAAACCTATGGACTGTATTCCACCAGGCTCCTCCGTCCATGGGCTCCCAGGCAAGAAATACTAGAGTAGGTTACCATTTCCTCTTCCAGGGGATCTTCCTGACCCAGAAATAGAAGCTACACCTCCTGCATTGGATTCTTTATCACTACCACTACCAGTGCGCTAATGCTAAGTCGCTTCAGTAGTGTCTGACTGTTTGTGATCCTATGGGCCATAGCCTGCCAGGCTCCCCTGTCCATGGGATTCTCCAGGAAAGAATACTAGAGTGGGTTGCCATTTCCTTCTCCAGGGGATCTTCCTGACCCAGGGATCAAATTTGTGTCTCTTAGACTCCTGCAATGGCAGGCAGGTTCTTTACCACTAGCTCCACCTGGGAAGCCGAGGTTTTCAAATATTATTGAAACTATTGACTAAGTCTCTAAGGAAAACCAGTGAAAAATCATGCCTAAAAACTGTCTTCAGGTGATCTTATTTTACAATCTAGTTTTTTTTTTTCCTGGGGAAAGGAGATTATTACTTTTTTTCTATAATTTTCTATTTTCTATTATTACTTTTTTTCTATTTTCTCATACTTTCTTCTTCAGTCCTTCAGGCATTCAGTTTTTATACATATGCCTCAATCTGACTTGCTCTCTTTTTAAAATGGCAACTTAATGGAAGTTTCAGTTCAATTCCGTTGCTCAGTTGTGTCGGACTCTTTGCGACCCTATGGACTGCAGCATGCCATCCAACCATCTCATCCTCTGTCTTCCCCTTCTCCTCCTGCCTTTAATCTTTCCCAACATCAGGGTCTTTTCAAATGAGTCAGTTCTTCTCATCAGGTGGCCAAAGTATTGGAGTTTCAGCTTCAACATCAGTCCTTCCAATGAACACTCAGGACTGATCTCCTTTAGGATGGACTGGTTGGATCTCCTTGCAGTCCAAGGGACTCTCAAGAGTCTTCTCCAACACCACATAAATCTCCAATATAATTGTCTCTGTGATATCAGTTTCAGCTCTCAGTTATGACCTTTTCCTCTGACCATATTCATAAACACTGAAAAAGATATTTTGCTTAAAAAAAAAAATCTAGGCTTTTGCACAGTCCCTAGTTTAGACTAAGTAGGCAAGCACCTAAGTGACATAATTTTAATGCTGTAATATGGCCAGGTCCTAGAGAACCCTTCCTAATACACCTGGCAAAGTGGCTTCATCCCTTCCTACATGGTCATATTTTCCCATTAGTGTCAACACTCCTCTATGTGGGACGAAAGAGTGG